TTTTCAGGTCAACCAAAAGATGATGAAGTCTGCATTGATGAAAGATCTGTACTATGAGATTGAACGGCTCAAGCAAGGTCTTATTCTTTGGCCTCATTCTTGTTAAATTTTTCTATTATTACATATTCCTGCACCACCCTATGAGTTCCAAAATGAGGATTGTTACCTGGAGGTGATTATTTGAACCTATGTGTGCTTATTGTTGAACCAGAGGTTTATTCGGCAAGAGAGAAGAATGGAATTTATATACCACGAGATCGTTATCTTCAAGATGAAGCAGAAAAGAAGGTATATTTTCCACTCTCGATTGATCTATCACTTGGAAGTTTGGCACTAGCAGTTAAACTTTTTAATAACCATTCTGTGATTCAACTTATCCAGGCATTGACAGAAAAAGTGGAGAAAATGGAACTAGATATGGACTCCAAGGACAAGGTATATGCAATAGCTTAATTTAAGAAGCGTTGTGCTGTGAGTCTTTTTGACCTTCAAATCACTTATGGACTCAACTGCATAATATTTACTAGTTGCCTTTTTTGTTTTGTTTAGCAACTAGCGGAACTTCAGGAGCTCTATAATTCTCAACAACAGTTGTCTGCAGAGTTGAGCAATAAACTTGATATTACTCAGGTAAAATAATTGTAAAGCATGCTGCTAGTGAATATACTGTAATAGATTAGCATTTCCTATCCTTGTTGCTTTATTTTCTCTTCTGTTAACCCACAATATTGACATATGCCACCAGAGAAGGCTTGAGGAAACTGAGCATGCATTCTCTGATCTTGAAGAGAAGCATAGGCAAGCGAATGCAACAATCAAAGAGAAGGAATTTTTAATAACTAATCTCCTGAGATCAGGTGAGCAAATTTGAGAATTTTTCCACAATCATCGTGTCCCTAGAAGGTGGACATGTGTTATTATGTTTGCCTACTGGTAGTTTCTAATAATCAAGTTTGCACCTTTTTTTTAGCTAAATAAATCTCTTATACATTGGATTTAGTACAATGAATATTGACGTAAAGTGTGACACAATTATTTCAGAGAAAGCCCTAGTTGATCGGGCAATTGACCTTCGGACAGAATTGGAGAGTGCTGTGTCAGATATCTCTTGCCTATATGCGAAAATTGGTTGGTTATCTGGAAACTAAGAATGGTTCAATCAATATGTTTGTTATAAGACATATTATAATAGCTGTTAATCCTTGTTTGGGTTACAGAGCGGAAAGATAAAGTTGAGGACGGGAATAGGACCCTTGTTCAGAAATTCCAGTCTCAGTTGACACAGCAGCTTCAAGCCCTGCATAAAACTGTTGATGCTTCTGTCACCCAGCAAGAGCAGCAATTGAAAGATATGGAGGATGATATGCAATCTTTTGTATCATCCAAATCAGAGGTAATGTCCAGACATCCAGTTACCTTGTCCCTGATAAATGAAACATCATTTTCATTCAATAAATGCTTATAATTCTTGTTGCTTGTAGGCTGCTGAAGAATTAAGGCAACGACTAGAAAAGCTGAAAACCATGTATGGCTCTGGCGTCAAAGCATTAGATAATTTAGCAGGAGAACTTGAAGGAAACTCAGTGTTGACATTTGGAGACTTGAACTCAGAAATATCTAAACATTCATCTGCCACTGAAGAGGTAAGATGAGTGGTAAATTGGGAATTTTTAGTAAATTCTTAGAAGTTAAAAGTTTCACTGATACAAGGCTTTATGACAGCTTTTCAACCAATTTGCACTTGAGGCTGATGCATTGTTGAATGGGCTTCAAAGAGGTCTGAATGATCAGGAAGAAAAGATTATAGCATATGCTCAGAAGCAGCGTGAGGTCAGTTTCACCTTTATAGTAAATATTGGGATTGAGTCAGATCGTGTTCTTGGCAAATTGCCAATTGGCCTAACTGTTTGATCTGCGTAACTGTTGCAGGCTCATTCCAGAACTGTGGAGACTGCTCGTTCAATTTCTAAAGTTACTCTGAACTTTTTCAACACCTTAGACATACATGCATCTAAATTAACTTGTATAGTGGAAGAAGCACAAACTGTAAATGAACAAAAGTTGTCAGATTTGGAAAGAAAGTTTGAGGTAATTTTACTTTGTGTTTTTGACAGCACTTTGTATCACTCACATATCTGGCTCTAATATACTTATGTTGCATTTGCAGGAGTGTGCCGCAAAGGAAGAGAGGCAATTATTAGAGAAAGTAGCAGAACTTCTTGCCACTTCAAATGCAAGGAAAAAGGAACTGGTTTGTTTCTATTTCTTCTCATTCATTGTTGATTTGACTCACTTTTCATGTACATTTATAAAGTTACTTAAGCTCACCTATAATTCTCGATGAATATATCTCTTTCTAATCCTATTAACTTTTGTATTATTTATGACAATGTGCAGTCACTTCAGTCATGTTTCTCCTTTTATCTTAAAAACATGTGTTACTTCTTGTTGTAGGTTCAAGCAGCAGTTACTGGTCTTAGAGATAGTGCGGCCTCCAGGACTACTCAACTTCAGCAAGAGTTGTCAACTATGCGAGAAGATACAGCAACTGTCAAGGATACCTGGACAGTTTATGTTGAAAAATCTGAATCCCAGTATCTTGAGGATACTTCTGCTGTAGAAAATGGAAAGAAAGACCTTGAAGGAGTCCTGCATAGCTGGTATCTTCATACTTGGTTAACGAGTATTATGACTTTTATTATTTTGCCTTTTTTATTTCCTAAGCTAATCATGTATTTTATGAAATCCTACAGTATGGACAAGGCAAAGATGGGAGCACAACAGTGGAAGGATGCGCAACAATCGTTGTTGAGCCTCGAAAAGTGCAATATTTCTTCAATTGACAAAATTGTAAAGTGAGTGGCTCACTTTTATTTGATCAGTATTCCTGGTTCAATGGGTGTAGTTATGACATTTGATGCGCATATTTACATTTTAATGTTTTATTTATCAGGGGAGGAATGGAAGCTAATCAAAGACTTCGGACAAAGCTTTCTTCTTCTGCGTCATCTACTTTAGAAGATGTAGATGTCACCAACAAGGGTCTTCTTGCTTCAGTTGACCGTGAGTTTTGACTATTATCAAATTCAATGTAGATCATGTTTGTCTTTGTCTTTATACTAACAGTTGAGAGGGAAACCTGCAGATGCTTTGCAACTAGATCATGAAGCACGTGATAATCTTGATTTAATCATTACACCTTGTTGTGAAGACGTAAGGCAACTGAAGAGTGGTCATCACCATAAAATCGTCGAAATTACCGACCATGCTGGGAAATGTCTTTTGACTGAATACAAGGTGAGATCTAGAATGGTCTTCACATACTTTATACGGTGCATGGAATCTTATCAACCTACTTTTCAATTAGACCAAGTTTTCAATCCAAGGAAAAATTACCAGGACATTTTAATAACAAAATTCTAATACATAGCTAATATCACCCAGAAAAGCTAGGGGGAAGGATGGCCACAGTCTGGCTCTGTCTAATTTCCAACTTGAAAGTTGGTGTCTTTCTTAAATGAGGGATCTTAATTCTGAAGTCACTGCTTCTTTCTCTGAGAACTGCTTAATCTAGTCATCTGGTTGTCTGAAACTCGTAGTATTTCATAAAATCATTTGAACTGTATTTTACCAGGAAATCTATTGAATGTCCCTAATTCTTCTTGTTTGAACAGGTGGATGAGCCAACTTGCTCGACACCAAGGAAGAGATCAATCAACTTACCAAGTGTGACATCAATAGAAGAACTTCGAACACCTGCTTTTGAGGACTTGTTGAAGTCATTTTGGGACCTAAAGTCTGGAAAGCAGACAAACGGTGATGTGAAACATATTTTCGGACAAGAGGGTGCTCACTCTGTAAGAGACCCCAGGCTTCCTCTCATTGCAATTAACTAGAGTGAGAGTCGGCATTTTGATTCTTAGATGCATCTATAGCAGTATGCAGAAACCATGTACAGTATGTATACAAACCGTGTAACTTCAATTTCTTTATTCGTTCATTGTTTTGTTGGATGAATCTCAACGTGTGTAATACGGGAACATTCTATCGAAGAGTAAGGTTTTCAAGGATCATTGTAATACTCTCTTCTTATTGATGTACTTTGTATAAGAGTTCTGACAAGTTATCTCCGTATTTGTTCACTTTTCCTTGGAGCAATTAACACACAGATTGGGAATTTCATCAAGGATAAATTCAGACCAAGTGAACCAACCAACAATTAATATTATCAAATTATACTAGTTTTGAACAAATTTATTATTATAAAGTGCAGATGTAATTACATCAAATACAATGTGAGAAGCTAGAAAACATTAGTATACACTATAATTTTCCAATTAAATGAGAGCCATAAGCTTTGGTTGGTTCTTCAGTACTTATACCATAAAATCTGTAGCAATCTTTAAAAACTTAATCCTCCATTAGAAAGCCATAAGCTTCGGTTGGGTCCTTTAAGTACTTGAGTACCTTAAACTCCTTTAAAATTAATTAAATTTTAATGCATAATAAATGTAATGATATGCCTATTCAACTTCATTTTTAATTAGTTTACAACTAATTATATTAAATCGCCAATGATTAATTATGTAGTTCAAATTTCGTAAAAAAAAGGAGTATGTAATTCAAATTAACATTGGTATTAATTCCAGCGACAAGGTGAGTACTTATGTAATTATGTTTAGTTCAGTACCAATCATGCCCGGGATATGGATTCATTGAGAGAGAAGACTTTCACATTAATAACCATTTGATCGGAATGTCCAATAATTGTTTATTTTCCTAATTGATCACTCATTGGTTGAACTTACGAAACTTGCAACCAACGGGACTACAACTACAATAAAGAACATGACCTCTGAGTCTAGGCTATCTAACTAATTGGCTTTAGTGGCTTTTATGTCAAGACAAAAATACACTCTATAGCAAGATAACTACGTGTCCAACGAACAAAAATACATGTATAAATGTACGTAAAACGCGTGTGATGTACACATCATTCTACATTTTATCCACATGCCATATTATATTAATAGCACTCAATAAATGCATTGTTACAATGATTACAATACAATCTTCATCACGTTTAAAAATTCCTATTAGAAGGTTACAAAAATATAAAATGATTTGTGTCAAAAAAAAAAAAAAATGATAATATTACTAAATTAATAATTATCCAAAAAAAGGGGTAAAACGCAGCGTTGCATTAAGAAAAGAATAGGCTCTGGCTCTGCAACGGTCTGGGCTTGGTATGAGTCTCCGTCTCTCTCTCTTAACAACAACAACAAAAAAACTCTTTTCTCTCGTCTTCCTTTCTCTTTGTTTCTTGGTTTTCTCTCTCTTCTGAAAATAAAAACCTTTCCTCTTTCACTTTCTCTCTCCTCCTCTTCTTCTCTCCTCGTTTCTTCTTCTCAATTCATTCCATGCCCTTTTTCGTCATTTTCTACTAATCACACGCCCATTATTCCTCCACGTCTGCTTCGTCTTCTTCCTCCCTTCGATGTTTATATAACCGCTTCTCCTCTTTTCTCTCTCTTTCTCTTTCTCTTTCACTCTACTTTTTCTAGGGTTTTCTGGGTTTCGCTGTTTTCACGGCATTCTTCGATTTCGTACTTTCATGGCTGCTCACTCCTCGTTAATTTGCTGTTTCTGCGAATCGTCAAATTAGGTATTTTTTTTGATCTAATTGATTTTTGAATTGTGTTTCTTGTTGGTTGTATTTGTTTTTGAGGCATTGTTGATTGATTATTCTTTGTTTGGGGTGTGTGATTGTTTTTTGTTTTTGTTGTTTTTTCCCGCTAGTTTGTTGTTTTGGTTTTAAGTTTTGAAAATTTTGTTGTTGGAATTGGTTGTTTCTAGGGTTTTGATTGGAATTTCGATTTGATCAATTGAGGTCGTCTGGTTTTGGGGTTGAGTTGCGAGCCAGGGGATAAGAATTCGAGAGTGTTGAGCTGAGTTGGGGAGGAGGTTAGTGTGTGCTTAATGGTTATGTTTGATGGCTATTGAAAAGAACAACGTTAAGGCGGTGTCGCGGTTGGATTCCGAGTTTTCTGTGGGGAGTAGGAGTAGGGAGAGTATGTCAAGTGATGATGATGAGTTTCGTAGGAGGAATTCCGGGGATTCTGAGGATGATGATGAATTTGATGATGCTGATTCTGGGGCAGGATCGGATGATTTTGATTTGTTGGATTTAGGGGAAACTGGGTCTGAATTTTGCCAAGTTGGGGACCAGACTTGTTGCATCCCTTTTGAGCTTTATAATCTTCCTGATTTACATGGGATTTTGTCGTTGGATGTTTGGAATGATTGCTTGACTGAGGAAGAGAGGTTTGGCCTCACAAAGTACCTGCCTGATATGGATCAGGAGATGTTCATGATGACCTTGAAGGAGCTGTTTGGAGGTGGAAATTTACATTTTGGCAGTCCTATAACCAAGTTAAATCAGATGTTGAAGGGAGGGCTGTGTGAGCCGAGAGTTGCTCTGTATCGCCAGGGGCTGAATTTCTTTCAGATACACCAGCACACTCATTTATTGCGGAGGTATCAGGATTCAATGGTAAGTAATTTCTTACTCATGAAGGAAGCTTGGCAGAAATGCAAGGGTTATAGCATTGAGGAGAAACTGCGTGTTTGGAATATAGCAAAAAGTCAAAAGAGTTTGATGGGGGAAAGGAATGAGTACATGGGGTCTGAGTCTTCAGAAAGGGAGTCAGGTGAGGCTTTGTTGAGGTCAAAGAGACGGAATGCTGGGAAGAAAGCAGGATATGATCCTCTATATGGTGCCAGTCATGCTTTTGATTTCTCTGGGGGAAGGGGAGGATCTGGTGATGTTACCAAATATGGGCAGCAAAATCCAAAAGGATTGTTGAAGGTGGCTGGAATGAGAAACCCTTCTCCGAATGTAGTATCATCACGTGTCCATTCTCGTGTCTATGGCCACCAGAACATGAGCACTGGTGCCCATGGCTCAGACTTGGTTGCCTCTAGAATGGGCAAGGCTGCTATGCATGATATTATGACAACTAGTGGGGATGACGAGCAAGAGATGTATGGCATTGCTACCCAGAGATGTTGGAATGGTATGGATGGAAATATGATGGTTAGGGGCAGGCCTGTCAGGTCAACAAAAAACCATGAAGCTTTTGTAGATGATGAATGTGATGGTGACAATTATGTAAGTCGGCATCAATCTTCAAAGCCTGATTTAGCTGCTCATGGTAGGAACTCGAACATTAATCAGCTGTCTGATATTAAAGTCTTAACTGCCAAGCCGTCAAATGTGAGAGGTTTGCAGGATTCTTCCAGAAGGGCCAAGTATATTGATCCTGTATACAACCTACAAATGAGACCTGCTAAAGGCCGTTCTTCACAGCTTGCTTTGAAAAGGAATCTGGCTGGCTATGGAGATGCTTCGGAACCATATTGGATGAAGAATCAACAGGGAGAGGCATACTTAACTGATCCTTCGTTTGATTATGAGGGTATTGATGTTGAGACCAGGAAACTAAAGGCGGGCAGAGAATTTCCTGATCATAGATTTACATCTCTGCAAGCTTCCCAACAGATAGAGGATAGAACCTTTCATCCAGAGAAGCGAGCAAAGCTTTATTCAGAGAATTTTAGAGGGGCTGCAGTGCGAAATGGAGGGTCTAGTATGTTTCCCTTAAATGGTGATAGAGTGTTTCATGGAGGTGAAGAAACAGAGTCTGACTCATCTGATCAACATGAGGCAGACCAGGATAACAGTTCTCTGATCATGTCCAAGCGAGCAAAACATGGGCGTATGGATATTTCTCAGTCTTCCTTGTCCAGGTCAATTTTGGACGAGAAGAAGGTGAAACGGAATAAGAAGGGTGTTAAAGGAAGTGTTTTGACTCGTGAAAGGATGCTACCTGACTCTAGTACAATGGCTAATTTTGAAAGGCATTTTCCAAGGCCAGAGATAGAATCTTATCCCTCAAAAATAAGGCAAAACTTTGCCACAAGAGTGGCAGAGGATTATTATTATGGTGGTGGTTTTGGAAACTCATGTTTTGAAAGTGATATGAAATCAACTTACAGACTTGGAAGGAATGGCCAAGTTCTATCTGAGGTTGCTGGAAGCTCTCCTATGTCCATGAATATGCCCTCATCTGTGGAGAGAAGGCAGAAAGGAAATGTTGGCTATGAATTTTCCTTGCAGTCCAAGAACATGAGAGGTTACAATCTCGAAGAGAATGGGGTTATATTTGACGGCAATCCAATGGGCAGAGGTTCCAGGGACTTGGATACTACTACATTAGTAGGTTGCACTTCATCCACTAGGAAGAAGAAGAGAAAGGAAGTTTTTGCAGAAATTAATGGGCAAGATGGATCTGATTACATGACGTCTCATCAGCAGCTTTCTGATTCCATCCCCTTGAAGAATTGGGCCAAAAAAAGATTGGAGACAGAATGTGGTTCCCCAGGTGCCAGTACATCAGAAGTTCCTGTTCTAGAGGCAGTGATTGCAGATCCAGAGCCAGAGATTAAACCTCAAAAGAAGCCATTTGTTCCAATAACACCTACTGTACATACTGGTTTCTCTTTCTCCATTGTTCACCTTCTTTCAGCTGTTCGCATGGCATTGATTACTCCCAGTCCTGATGGTGCTTTGGAGGGCCAGAAGCATAATGAGAACACTGGAACAGAACCTGAAGATAAGAACGTGAAGCAAGAATGTGGAAATGGTTCTGTGGAACAGTTAGATATGAACATTCAATGTCCTGAAAACTCAAATGTTCCATCTGTAACAGTTCAGGAAATTGTGAATCGTGTAAGATCTAGTCCTGGGGATCCTTGTATTCTTGAGACTCAGGAGCCACTTCAAGATCTAGTTAGAGGAGTTTTGAAGATTTTCTCATCCAAAACAGCACCCCTAGGAGCCAAGGGTTGGAAGCCTCTGATATGTTATGAGAAGTCCGCCAAATGCTGGTCTTGGACTGGACCAGTTTCACAGAGTTCAACAGACCATGAAACCTCTGAGGAGTTGACTTCCCCAGAGGCTTGGAACATTTCTCGTAAAATGCTTGTAAAGTTGGTTGATTCTTATGCCAATTGGCTTAAAAGTGGTCAAGAGACTCTGCAGCAAATTGGCAGCCTTCCTCCACCACCACAGGAGTTGATGCAGCTAAATTTTGATGAAAAAGAAAGGTTTAGGGACTTGAGAGCTCAGAAGAGTCTAACTACCATTACCCGAAGCTCTGATGAAGTTAGGGATTATTTCCGCAAGGAAGAGCAACTGAGGTATTCAGTTCCTGATAGAGCATTCTCTTATACCGCTGCTGATGGTAAGAAATCTATAGTTGCTCCATTGAGAAGATGTGGTGGTAAGCCGACTTCAAAAGCTCGAGATCATTTCCTGTTGAAACGTGATAGACCTCCTCATGTTACCATCCTTTGCCTTGTCAGAGATGCAGCTTCTAGATTACCGGGGAGCATTGGTACCAGAGCTGATGTTTGCACTTTGATAAGAGACTCTCAGTATATTGTGGAGGATGTCACTGATTCTCAGGTTAATCAGATTGTTAGTGGGGCCCTGGATCGTTTACATTATGAGCGTGATCCATGTGTACAGTTTGATGGAGAGAGGAAATTGTGGGTTTACTTGCATAGAGAACGGGAAGAAGAGGATTTTGAGGATGATGGTACCTCATCTACCAAGAAATGGAAGAGGCAGAAGAAAGATGTAACTGAGCAAGATGACCAAGTTACTGTTGCTTGCCAGGGAAACATAGAAAATAATGGATTTGATTTGAGCTCTGATCTCAATGTTGTGCCGACAGGCTTAAATAGTGAAAAAACATCAGATGTAATTCATGATGATACAGGACAAAGAACAGAAGACCATGCAAAAGCTACTCACATGCCTGATGAAGCTGCTTCCCAGCAAATGCTGGAAAGTAGATTGCAGTGCCAAGATGTCTCAGCGAAAGAAGAATCTATTGACGAAACATAGAAGAAAATAGAGATGGGTCGGACTTGTTGGAGCATTCTCCTAAGCGGTGTTTTCTCAGGTATTAAATATGTATACTCTCTCTTTCTCACTCTCTCTCTTGTATGTGTGTTGGATAAAAATATGAATATATGTTGTAATTTTAGTAATGTTGAGTACTCTTTGGACTGAATTGGAGCACCCCTTTATATGGCCTGGTTGTTATTTATGTTATACATGGTCTCATTTTCAGTACCATTGTAATTGAAAATTCCTGGACAACTCATGTGAATTTTTTTTTTTTGTTTTTTTTGCAGGATTAAGCTCTTGTATGTTGGCCTTCCTGTCAAAGTCTTGACGATGTATGATATATATTACGAGGTGCTACATTTCTTTTTTGTGTATTACTGATATTAAAGCTAATCCAAAAGGTAGAGGAGAAAATGGTCAAAAATTGGTTGTCTTGTGAATACAGCTAGTATAGTTAGGCTTTTTTCAACGTCTACAGCTTGGTAAATAATGTATTTGAATTGAATAGTATCATAACTTCGAAATCAAAGTCTCTCCATATCAGATTCTTTTATTGTTTCTGTTAATTTAGTCTGGTTTGGCATATATCCTTTATCTAATGCTTGCTTCTGCATATGTCAAGTAATTACTAGATCAAGAACGATGATCCAAAAATTTCACCTTTATGTTGCCATGTCTTCTTGATGTTGTGCTATACAGACAATAAAACTATCCATAATACTTGTGTGACATCAGTCTGAACAGACAAATTCTTGCAAAAGCTGGCATGGAATGCCAGGACAGGACCATGAGTTGGGGATGAACCAGCGGCTTCATTTCTGAGATTCATCTTTGACCACTTAAATCTACCTCTTCCATTGATGAGCACAATCATCAAGAACTTAAGTGGGAACTCAGATGTGGGCTCGTTTCTTACAGATGTTGTTGTCTGTTTTCCGTGTGTGCTTTCTGGTTAATATTACAGAAAACTGACGAGTGTCTTTAGTTGTGGTTGCTGCACGGCTGTGACCCCTTGAATGTTGAAATTTCATTAATGGTTCAAGTTAAAAGCTTGAATATGTGAATACGCTATGCACAGGGATCCTGTTTCTCCTTGCATCAGAGTTCTAGTTCTATTGAATTGAGCCAAATTCGCTGATGTATTAGTGCAAGGCAGCTGGTGTTTGTATTGATGTTTTCTTTGCCTGTCGCCACGGCTGATGGCTCCATGCTATTTATCACAGGTACTGGAGTGGTGACATTGATATAAGATTATATCTTTTTAATTTCTATATTTTATAGGCTTAGTTTTATTAAAATTAGTTACTTGTGGTTTTTAAATCAGTATTTAGTTGAATTAACTAATTACAAGTTTATGTTTGTATTTCAATTTCTGATGTTTTACTGGATTATTGGTATGAGATTTTGCATGATTGAGGAATTTCCATTGGTAGTTTGGTACACTTGTAGAATTTGGTACCTATTTATTTTATACATAAAAATTGATTTTTTACAATTTTATGTTGTTCAAAAGGAAAAACCCTTTTAATTAGCAATGTATTTAGCTCAGGAATAGAGAACGGGTCTACACTCCTACAGGCTACAGCTCACCTTTGACTTACTTGAAATACTTTATTTTCTTGCTGTACTTTGTTTGACATCAGTTGCCCCCTACTAAGTACTGCCTGCTTGACCAGGCTCTCACTTTTCTCCAGAAACATTCATGCTAGTATATATTTAAACTTAATATTTTAATTTTGGTTGTGTCGTTTTGAGTCTCTCTCTCAAGCATCAACCCACCCGCATCGCAGACCTTGAAAACCTAAGAACCCGTTATTTTCGTGATTGATAGTTGGGTTAGTTCAGATGACCAACAAGAAGAGCAGAGGAGATTCATCAAACCAGATGCTGCTTAACAATAGAGATGTATTGGATCAAATCAGGGCTCTGGCAAGGTCTCTATTATTCCCGACACTAACATTTATCAAAGGTAGTTCCTGGGAAGACACCAAGAAGAGGTTCAAAGCGAATGCTGTGGGTGGCAACCTCTTCAAAGATAAATTTCGTCTAGTGATTGGTAAAATTGTTTACCTTTTCTTTTGACTTCGGGTTTTCTGGTTTTAGTTCTATACAACTTGGAAAAAATGGAATTTTTTCATCTTCTAATTACTAGTTTAATCGATGTTATCTACTAAACATAATAAAGGAATCGGTTTCTGTATACTGTTCAATAAATAACAGAGTACTGTATGTTTTATGAAGTTATCATCTTTAACAGAGTAATCAAAGTCTGTTTTAAAGCAATGCAAGATCATCTCCATTTTTTTAATGCCATTCCCAGGCGAAGAAAAAGAGATACTTTGGGAAAATTAGTAGTGTGTTGGGGAATGTTGATTTTATTTTATCACACGATTTATTATTACTTACCAAATGAGTATTTGTGCAAGTTGCAAGGCCTGCAATATCAATTTCTTTCTCACCCACCACCACATCCTAATCTTCACGCTCACTTAAACCTCCACCACCATGACCATGACCACAATACTCGCGTTACCACTGCAACTAAGCTACGGGCAGATCCAAATTTTCTGTAGCCCATGCCGTTAAGCATTTATAGAATCTCCCAATTACGAGTGTTTGATATCTTTTTTAGTTAAGAATATGATATGAATACACATTAATTAAGTGATATGATATCATTGATTAGGACGATATGATTCTTGTTTATGAGAAGTTGGTGTAGTCTGACAACTATTTTTGGACAGAGTGTGTATAGAATTTTTTCACCAACACTTATCAAAAGCCTTCTTCAAAATCTTTTCTTAGAAATGAGTGATTCAGAAGAATTTGCGGGTGAATTGTATGATATGTTGGCAAGGCGAATGAAGTTGGATACTTCAAAAGGGATAACAATTGATGAGATGAGAATGTTTTGGGAAGATATGACTAGTCAAGATTTTGATATCCGTTTGCAGATCTTCTTTGACATGTAAGCTGATTATTTGATGGCCACTTTTGTGTATCTCCCACTATTTTCTTCCCTTGATTTGCTCCCAAGAAATGGTCAAGTCTTGATGGATTTTGTTCTTTGTAGGTGTGACAAAGATGGAGATGGGGTGTTATTGAAAGATGAGGTTTGCAAGGTAATGAATTCGAATGATTCTTCAATGGTACGTCTTTTCGATTACAGTGAAACTCACAACTAACATGAAGCTCCCTTTTATTTGAACATTAGGCAATAGTTTTAAGTGCCTCGGCTAACCAACTTGAGAAAGTCAAGTCACAAGCAGAAAATTATGCATCTTTGATCATGGAAAAGCTGGATTTAGATTACCAAGGATATATAGAGGTCTCTTGTAGCTTTATTCGTCTTTCCTTTTTTAACTTTTGATACTGAAGGTCTGAAGTTCCAATGATAATATACAGTTGTGGCAACTTGAAGCATTTTTAGAGGAAATGTGGACTTCGACCAATCACCGAATCCATGGGATTGACTTGGATCGTCAACCAGCATGTCCAACAATGTGAGAAGACAACAAAACCATATTATAAGGAGTAATATGGTTTCAGCATTTTACTCTCCATTGCAAGAAATCAATCTAAGACAAAAAATGAGCCTAACTTTCATAAATCTGCTGTTTTACAGTTTTCAAAATATAAACATCAAAGGCCTGTGGAACTTCAGAGAAGAGTTACAAAGAGTATGAAATTCTCTTACTCATTGGAATCGGTGCTGGAGCAACTTTTTTCACCAGCATCCTCAAGGATCTTTTAAACAACTCGAGGGAAATCAGCACACAGGTACCTAACTTAGCACCTGAATGCTTCTCAGTGTGAATTCTAAAGATCATTCTGAGATCTTCTAGGATCTTGTTTGAGTCATTGAGTGAGTACGGACTTTCTGAAATGAATGCAGGATATTGAGAGCAGAAAGAGGCCTGAGAAGGCGTACTTTTATTGGGTTACAAGTGAACAAGGCTCCTTTGATTTGTTTAAGGATGTCGTGGATGATATTGCACAATATGATTCAGATGTGGGTATTGCTAGACCAAGTAATTCATTTCATTTTTAGCAATTAACTTGTCATGTACTTCAGTACTTGGTCTATTGTTTGTTTTAGTATTGATCAATTAACCAATGTCCCTTTATTTACTTCGGAACTTCAATTAACAGAATGTGATAGAAATCTGTTACTACTTGACTAGTGTGTATGAAGAAGGTGATGCTCGATCTGTACTTATACAAATGGTACAATCATTGCAGTATGCTAGGAACAGAGTTGACGTGATTTCTGAAAGCCAGGTAAAATAAACTTTCCTCCAATCGGTTAGATAGATTACCATATTACATGGTCTCTTTTATCAGCTGTCACTTTGGCAAGTCTAACATAGAATTTGAACAGATAAAAACATATTTTGCAAAACCTGAATGGTACAAGGTAGGTGAGAAACTAGCTGCCACACACAAATCACAAAAAATAGGTAATTTTTTTTTTTTTTCAAAGTATCTGAATTCTGAAAGGGGCAGTAATTTAGTTATGTTTGATTTTGTTGTACTTGACATAGCGCCTTGACTGATGAATGTTTAAATCTGTATCTTCATTATATTGTAGGTGTATTTTGTTGTGGAAATCAAAGTGAGATAAAATTACTGAGGAGGTTTTGCAAATATGTTGGCCTTAACATTACCTTCCACTTCCACAAGGAGAACCTTTAGGGTTCGGATACAGCAGAAAATCCTGCAGGGGAAATTACAAATGAATGCAAACCTGTCCAATTGATTATTCAAGATTCATCCCTTTCAAGCTTCTCATGATGTTCAAGGCCCTGTACCAATTTGCTCGGTTTGTTAACTAAAACAAATAACTAATTTCTGTTAGACTAATTTTATGAATGTTTTCATAATATTTTTTTTATTTTTTTTTTATTTTTATGGGGGGAATCATCTGTTATTTACTGATGATTTGTGTGAAAAGTGAACCTTCTTGCATTTCTTTTCAGAAACAACTACCATGGTTAAAATTCTGGTTTAATGCTATGTAACCTTCATTTGTATACAAATAAAACACGGATCTTCATCAAAGTGTGTCTCTATATCACAGATTCTTTTATTGTTTCCAGTAATGTAGTCTGATTTTAGCATATATTCCTTTTCTAATGCTTGCTTCTGCATATGTCAAGTGTTTCAAATTGCCATGCTTTCTTGATGTTGTGCTATACAGACAGTAAAATTATCCTTTGTACTTGTAACAAGTCAGTCTGAACGAACAGAACATATTCTTGCAAACATATGCTAGCTGACATGGAATGCTAGGATCATGATGAGTTGGGGATGAACCAGCAGCTTCATTTCTGAGATTCATCTTTACCTACCTCCTCTTCCATCAAAGAGTACTCTTATCAAGAACATTACTTAGCTAGTTAGCATAAGTGGGCATGAGATGGAACTCAGATCAGATGTGGGGCTCATCCCTTACAAATGCTCTTATCTGTTTTCCGTCTGTGATGGAATTGCTATCTGGTTGATATCACAGGAAACTGACAAGAGTGTCTTCAGCTGTGGTTGCTGCACGGCCGAGCCCCCTTGAATGATTAATTTTCTGCAATGACTTCACTATCTTGAATATGTGAATTTGCTACATACTCCTAATACCCTGAACGGGTCTACACTCCTACAGACTACAGCTCACCATTGACTTGTTACTAATACTTATTTTTTTCGTTGCTAATCAATAACTATACTTTAAGTTGACATCAGTTCCTGTCAAAAAAAAAAAGAAAAAAAAAAAAGAAAAAAAGTTATGTAATAGATCAACCTAAGGAGGGGTAGTATAGGTATTCTACTAATATTAGCTCACTAGGTTAATTGTCCTTGGTATAAATAGAGAGGGAAGGGAAGGAAATAGGTAGGCAGAATTTGGACTAATTCCTTAGGAGAGTTGTGACCTTAAGTCACTATTAGGAGAGTTGTGACCTCAAGTCACTAATAGGAGCTTTGTAGGCTAAACCTACTACTACCATTTGTAAGAAACCCTTAATCTTTAATCAAATTTCTGAACCTTCTCCTTTATTATTAGCGTGAATATTAACAGTCTATTACATGACATCAGTTGCCTCCGACTAAGAACTAACTCTTTGACCAGGCTCTCATTTTTCTGCAGAAGGATTCATGCTAGCATATCAATGTCAATACTTCTATTTTAGATGTGTTGTTTGAGTCTTTCTCTGAAGTATCAACCCACCTGCTTCGCAAACCGTACAAACCTAAGAGCCTGTCATTCCTAGGTGATCTAATTGTCGGGATAGCTAGAATGACCAACGAAAAGAGCAAAGGAGATTCATCAAACCATAGAGATGTATGTGGCCACTTAGGATTTCGGGCAATCATTTATGACCCAGCTCCAAAATTTATCGAAGGCAGTTCCTGGGCAGACACCGAGAAGAGGTTCAATGAGTATGCTGTGGATGGCAAGCTCTTCAAAGATAAATTTTGTCTTATCATAGGTATGAATATTTTTTTTTTCATTTGACTTTCAGATTTCTGCTTATAAATTTTACACAGCTTCGAAAAAAATGGATCTTTCATTTTTTTATACAAAGTTTAATCATAATAAAGAATATGGCATCTGCATACTCATAACTAACAGAGTATTTTTATAAAGTGACCTTCAATAACACAGTATTTGGCAAGCAAATTAGCAACCTAAAGTTCGTATAAATGCACAATATATATCATCTCCAAACTTTTTTTTTTCTTAGATATTAAAGACTACCCCCTAAAGAACAAGAGAGTTCGGGTGAACATATTTTCTCACTACAACTATTTTTGGACTGAGTACATATAAATAATTTTTTCATCAACCTGCTGTTTGAGATATGAGTTATTTAGAAGAATTTGCTGGTGATATTTCTTACCACAACTATTTTTTTTGTTTTAGAAATGAGTGATTCAGAAGAATTTGCTGGAGAATTGTATGATACGATGGCAAGAAGAATGAATGTAGATACTTCAAAAGGGATAACACTTGATGAAATGAGAATGTTTTGGAAAAATTTATCTACTAAAAATCTTAATACCCGCTTGCAGATTTTTTCTGACATGTAAGCTGATCATTTGACGTCCATATCTGTGTATTATTCAACTGTTTTCTTCTCTGATTTGCTCACTAGAATTGGATAATGCTTGATGAATTTTGTTCTTTGTAGGTGTGACAAGAACGGAGATGGGAAGTTATCAAAAGATGAGTTTTGTCAGGTAATGAAGTAATGAACTCGAATGAATCTTCAATGAACTTTCGTGCTCACAGCTGACTTTCTCTTTATTTGATTATTAGGCAATAGTGTTAAGTGCCTCGACTAATCAATTCGATAAAGTTAAGTCACAAGCAGAAAGCTATGCTGCTTTGATCATGGAAGAGCTGGACTTTGATCACCGAGGATATATAGAGGTCTTTAAGTCTTTTGTACAAGTAGCTTTTTTCACCCTTTTGTTAATTTAGTTTCTGAATTCTGATACTGAGGTACTGTCATGGGCGGAGCTAGAAGGGGACATGTGGGGACACTTGTCCCCCCATTTTCAAAAAAAAAAAATTTAAAAAAAAAAAAAATTAAAGAAAAAAAATTAAAAAAAAAACTGAAGTGAGACAAAAAGAAGAAGAAAAGAAATTGCAAAACTAAACCCTAACTTTCACAATTCTCAATTTCTCTCTCTTCGAAGTTCGAAAGTTGGAGACTTAGAGTTCTCAGGCAGTCAGGCTCGTCGGCGGCACTTCGTTGGTTCGTTCGCGTCTTCTCCCGTCCAGTGGCGGTGTCGGGTGTCTTGCTGTCTTCGGTCTTCCGCCCTTTATTGGCTCCACCCCTGCTCCCGTCGCCGGTTCTGTTCACCCAAATCACCAGTTCGCGACTTGGAGTTCGACAGACGACAGTTCGTGTCGCCGGTGTGCGGTGTCGGTGTTGGTGGCGGGTGTCTTGCTGTCTTCGGTCTTCCGGTCTTCGCTAGACCCAATTCACCCAAATCAATGGAGGTATGTAAATCTGAATTTCAACTTATTACTTGTTTAATTGATGAAATTGTTGTATATATCAACTTATTACTTGTTAGTCTTTTTTAATTTCGATTGAGAATTATTGTGGATTTGACGATTTTGTCATTTGTGGGTATTGAAGACGAATTTCAACTTGTTACTTGTTTAATTGATGAAATTGTTGTATATATCAGCTTGTTTAATTTCGATTGAGAATGATTGTGGATTTGTCATTTGTTGATTTGTGGGTATTGAAGTTTTGAACTTTGAAGTATTGAACTTATTGAAAATTGAATTGTTTAATCTCTGAATTATTGGTATTTAATTTTTTTCCCCTGTTTTTGAGAATTTAAATTATTGAAATGTATAGTTGAATTAGAAATTTAGAAATTAGAATCTTAGGTTTTGTTATTATGTAATGATGTGGATTGTGGAAATTGATATATAATTTTCAATTTAATTAGGAAATGTCAAAAGATTCACCAAATTCAAACAAATCCAAGGCAACTAAACAACCCGATCTTCGACAATTCTTGTTTAAAAGAACGAAACTCAATAAAAATGGGTCCAACGAAAATGAGTCCAATACTTAGAGGAAGATTCGGTGTACGATTTTGTCCCCCCAAGTTGAAAATCCTGGCTCCGCCACTGGGTACTGTTGTTTATATCAGTTGTGGCAACTTGAAGCATTTTTAGTGAAAATGTGGACTTCACCTGGTCACGGAATCCTTGAGCATCACGAATGGAGCGAAAGGCTTCCTCCACCAAGATGTCCAACAATGTCAGAGGATGCTAAAACCCGAAATATGATTTCTGCATTTTACATTCCACTGCAAGATGAACCCAATCTTTATAATCCTGTTTTTATTTTTTTTTAATTTTTTTTTACAGTTATCTCAATCCAAGCATCAAAGGCCTATGGGGCGCTCCAGAGAAGCGTTACAAAAAGTATGACACTCTCTTACTAATTGGAATCGACGGTGGAGCAACTTTTTTCAATAGTATCCTCAAGGATCTCTTAAATGACTTACAGGAAAGCAGCACACAGGTACTGATGAGCATCATTCTGAGACCACCTAGGATCTTTTTCGAGTCATTGAGTGATTACGGTGTTTCTGAAATGAATGCAGGATGTTAAGATTAGAAAGAGGCCTCAGAAGGCATACTCATATTGGATTACAAGTGAACAAGGCTCCTTTACTAATTTGTTCAAGGATGTAGTGGATGATATTGCGCAATATTGTGAAAAGTTTGAAGCTTTATTTCATTTTTCCTGTAAAAACAGAGAATTTGGGATTTGTTTGACGGCGCAGCCACAATAATCACCTGGGGTCCTCACCCTAGATGGGATTTTCCTTTTACTTATATAGTGTCCATACACCAATTACATCATACCAACAAGAATAAATTACATAATGCCAACACACACATAGTGCCAGCACAACAAGGATAAAAAAATCATTTCTCTACACTCCCCCCGCAAGTTGAGCTTGGGATAAATGACCAAGACCCAACTTGGAGGCTAAGAACCAATGTTGTTGTGCTGGCAGAGACTTCGTCATAATGTCAGCAACCTGTAAAGATGATCTGACATGCTGAGTGACAATCAATCCTTCTTGAATCTTTTCTCTAACATAATAAGCATCGAGATTAAGATGTTTTGTACGCTCATGAAAGGCTGAATTATGCGCAATATATTCAGCAGATTTGTTGTCACAAAAGAGTGTGACAGGCAGCAAGCATTCTTGTTCAAGATCTTCAAACATTCCAGTCACCCAAGCAACTTCACTTGTAGTTTGAGACATGCTTCGTAATTCTGCTTCACATGATGACTTGGAGACAACCTTTTGCTTCTTTGTTTTCCAAGATATCAAGCATTTACCATAGAAGACACAATATCCTGTCAAAGACCTTCCACTATAAGTACACATTCCCCAATCAGCATCAGAAAATGCTGTGAGCATTTCATCTCCTGCCCTAGGATAGAACAACCCAATGTCTACGGTTCCTCTAAGATATCTTACAACATGTAAAGCAGCCTTCATGTGTGGTTGTCTAGGACAGCTTAAAAACTGACTCAGTTGTTGAACTGAGTAAGTTATATCAGGTCTTGATAGAGTCAAATAGAGCAATTTGCCAATTAATCTCCTGTAGCTTTCTGGATCCTCCATAATCTCCCCTTCTTCAGATGATAACTTTACCCCCTTTGGGAAAGGGAAGCTTGCTGCCGTGCATTCAGACATCCCAGAGTCTTTAACAATGTCGATGGTGTATTTTCTCTGGTTTATCATGGTTCCATGTTCACCTCTAGCAACTTGAATCCCTAAAAAGTATCTCATATGCCCCAACTCCTTCGTGGTGAAAGCTTCATTAAGTCTTTGCTTGATATTTTTTATTGTTTCCTCATCATCTCCTGTCACCAAAAGATCGTCCACATATACCAAAATGATACAAATCTTTCCATTTTGCTTCTTAAGAAAGACAGAGCAATCCCTCACACATTGTTTGAAACCGTTTCCTAGTAGAAACTTTGTCAATTCAACATTCCATTGTCTAGATGCTTGTTTTAATCCATACAAGCTCTTTCTTAATCTGCATACATTTCCATCTTCATGTGTCTTATATCCTGGAGGCATCTTTAAGTATACTTCCTCATCCAGAAAGCCGTGCAAAAAGGCATTATTTATATCAAGTTGATGAAGGTTCCATCCCCTCAAGGTCGCTAAAGCAATTAGCAACCTTACCGTGGCGAATTTGGCCACAGGTGAGAATGTCGATTTGTAGTCTTTTCCTTTGATTTGCTTGTCTCCTCTAGCTACTAATCTTGCTTTCAGTCTTTCAACATTCCCATCTTTATCAAACTTCACTTTATACACCCACTTGCTATCAATAGCCTGTTTTCCTTATGGCAAGTGAGTAATTTCCCAAGTTTCGTTCTTCTCAAGAGCTTCTATCTCCTCTTTCATTGCTTGAACCCAACCCGGGTGTTGGCATGCTTCTTTAAAAGTAAATGGCTCTTTAACATTCAAAACATTGTTCAAGGACACTACATAATCATCTTCATAATATTCCTGGTTCTCCAAACTGCACATTACTAAATTAGCAGTTGCTCCTTCCTCTTCACTGCTTCTCTGTCTTTTTGTATCCATGACAAAATCATGGAACTTGGCTGGAAGTCTTCTTTCTCTTTCAGGCCTTTTTGGATCCGGTTCAACTTGATTGTCAACTGGTTCTTTTTGTTGGGTGAGATCATCAATTTTATGCCCAACTTCCTCATTTGATCCTTCTACATATTCCTCCTGGTTGTTGTTATCATCATGTTGAGCATCAACATTCTCAAGAGGACTTTGTAATCCTTCTTCCATCTGAAGCATATCTTCTTCTATTGCAATCTGCACAGGCAAACTAACAGGATTCTGCTCATACTCATCTTGAGTTTGTTTGAAAGGAAAAATCTTCTCTTCGAATCTCACATTCCTGCAAACAAATATCTTGTTAGTTTCAAGATTATATACTCTGTATCCCTTTTGATTAACGGGATATCCAAGTAACATGCATCTCGTTCCTTTCTGAGCAAATTTGTCTCCTTTTGTGTGACTGTTTGAAGCATAACAAAGACATCCAATCACCCTCAAGTGATTGTAATTTGGCTTTCTTTTCATAAGCCTTTCAAAAGGAACTTCCCATCCAATCACTGAACTAGGAAGCATGTTAATAATATGAGTGGCAGCCAATACGCATTCTGCCCAAAATTTGCTCGGTAATCCTGCATGAATCTTCATTGCTCTTTCTGTCTCAATGAGATGCCTGTGCTTTCTTTCAACACGACCGTTTTGTTGAGGATTCCCTGCAACGCTTCTTTGATGTAAGATCCCTTTCATCCTGAACATCTCCGAGCACTCTTCTTGAAAGATTTCTGTACCATTGTCACTTCTTACTGTTTTCACAGTAGTTTGGAAATGGTTCTCTATATAAGCTAAGAAATCAGCTAAGATATATTTCACTTGCTCTTTGCTGTGTAGCAAATGAGTTCAAGTGACTCTTAAATGGTCATCGAGAATAGTTAGGAAGTACCTTCCACCTGTTATAGCAACTTTTCTGTATGGACCCCAAAGGTCGATATGCAATAAATCAAATACATTTTCAGCAATTGAGTTACTAACAGGAAAAGGTAATTTATGATGCTTAGCCACACAACAAGTATCACAAAAAAACTCATTCAAACCCTTACAGTCACATACTGATAAATGTTTCATCTTAGACAAGGAACCATGTCCTAGTCTTTGATGCATCAAGTTCAAACAAGGACTTGTTCTGGAATTTAATACAGTACTATTACATTTCACAAATCCACCTAGCTTATTCAACTCTACTCCTTGGTTGATCACTTGCTTCTCATTTCCTTGCTCGAGTTTGTATAAACCTCCCACCTTTCTTCCTCTTCCAACTATTCTCTCATCAGAACGGTCCTGAAACAAACATTCACCATCAGTGAAAGTTACTTTCACTCTGTTCTGCTCCATCAGTCTACTCACTGAAAGAAGATTATGTTTGAACTCAGGAATATGCAATACATTCCTTATTGTTATTTCAGGACTTAAATTGATAGTCCCTATTTTCTTTACATATCTTATTGTTCCATCTGGAAGTCCGACACTCACAGGTTTCTTTATAGTTCTGAGCTCACTGAACATTGATTCACAGCTAGCCATATGGTCAGATGCACCTGAGTCGACCAACCATGATTGTTTTCCAAACATTTCATAATATGAGCAAGCATTATAGGATGAAATAATACCTGCAAAATTGCTGATATGTTGCTTGGTTCCAGAACTTCCAGCAGCTTCTTGTTTCTTTGCATTCATTACTTTCAGAACCTGTTGCACAACAACATTTACTATACCATCTGATTGACCAAGGTCATCCACAGGTGTGTCCTGCACACAAGTTTCTTGTGTGTTCATTGCATTTGCAGCATGACTAGTTCCTGTACCTTGGGAATTCTTTCCCTTGGGTTTAGGTGGGTTCTTGAACCAGTCGGGGAAACCATGTAACTTGAAGCATCCTTCCATCGTATGCCCCTTCATTTTACAATGATCACAGAAGTACTTCCTCATCTTTTCTTCCTTAGACTCTCTTTCTGAAAAATCTGACCTCCTTTGTTGTTCTGGTTGTTGACCTTCCCTGTATTGCAATTATTCTGATGGAAACTTCCCCCACCTTGCTTCGTTGCAGCCATGGCACTCACATCTGCTCCCATCTCCATAGCAACAGAAATTTCTTTCTGCTTCTCAGATTGTTGAATCATATGAAATGCCTTGTTTACAGTTGGCAATGGATCCATTGCCAGTATGTTCCCTTTCATATTATCATACCCTATTACCCTCTATTTAGACCCATAAGAAAGTCTATCACTTTGTTCTTTGCATCTCTCTCAAACAATTTCTTCAACATATTACAACTACACTTACTCATTGCACCACAACTACATTCAGGAAGAGGTTCAAGATTGTTTATTTCATCCCAATAACTTCTCAATTTTGCATAGTAATCACCAACAGAGAGATCATTTTGCTGTAAGTTATTTAGTTCTTTCTTAAGCAAATATAACTGTGGTGCATTAATTTCCCCATATATTTCTAACAGTTCATCCCAAAAAGCTTTAGAAGACTCACAAAGTAGTAGTTGTTGTGCTATACTAGGTGAGACAGAGGCTGATAACCAACACCTTATCATGTAGTCATTTCTGATCCATTTTTCATAATCATCAGAATCAGGAGAAGGTTTTGAGATCTTACCATTGATAAATCCCAGCTTGTTCTTGGCCCCTAAAGCCATTTTGACGCTTCTGCTCCAGTTCAAGTAGTTGTTGCCATTGAAGATGATGCTTCCCAAGGTAGTGCTGGAGTGATCCGAACTTCCGAGGTAGTAAGGATCTGCATATGGTATTATCGTATCTTTGCTCATGCTGAACAGATTCTTGAGTCCAAAATCTGACTCAATGTCTTGAATTTTTTTTTTTTTTTTTTCCAGATTCAAGTAAAGATGAAATCTTTACAGATTTTGAGAGGGAATTTTAGAAAGATTAAAACTTTCTTGTTTTCTCTAACAGGTTTCAAGATTTAAAAATTTTCTTTGGTTTAAAAAAGATCAGAACCTGATTGCTCTGATACCATGTGAAAAGTTTGAAGCTTTATTTCATTTTTCTGTAAAAACAGAGAATTTGGGATTTGTTTGACGGCGCAGCCACAATAATCACCTAGGGTCCTCACCCTAGATGGGATTTTCCTTTTACTTATATAGTGTCCATACACCAATTACATCATACCAACAAGAATAA